TTAAAAATCCAATCGGACAATCTTTTTAAATTAAGGTGTTTAGACCACTTACATTTAATGTGATTATTGATATGGTTGAGTTGATTATCTTGTTATTCGTTTTCTGTCACAATTCTGGAATGAAAAGACGTTTTGCTCTTTAGTATTCCATGTTTCCTCCTTATGTAGCATAGGAAACTAGAAAAATGATTTTGAAAGTTCAGTGTTGTTAGACTACAACAGTGAAATCAGGCTCTTCCTAGGAAAAGCAAGCCCTTTTTTGCATTTGTTTATACTATTTTAACAAATGTTAATTATTCATCCTTCAAGATAAAGCAAGTAATTCTCTGTGTATTTTTATCCGTTTCCATGTCGTCCTGAATCACGTTTTTCTCTCCAGGTAACAGGAACATTGTCTCGAGGAATCCAGGACATTTGATTCTGAAATCTCCAATGTGAACCATACTTCCTGTCCTAGTATACAACCAACCAATTCTTTAGTTCAAGCTTTTCAAATTTATCCTAAGTCCCCTTCAAATAGCACAGAGAAGTGGAAGTCTATTGCTGGGAGTTAAAGCACCCACATCTTGACATAATTTTACTTTAAATTCTTCTTTCTTCTTTAAAAGTTCTGCTCATTTGCATTCTCCATGGAGAGAAAAAGCAAGTTATACTGACGCTCCAGAGGGAAACGCTCCTCTCAGATGGGGATCCTCGCCCAAGGCAGAAACCTGTGCACCCCGCGGGCTGGAACTCCCACGAATCCACTAGGCTCGGCTCCCTTTTATAGCATGGTGGGATCAACCTGAGAGGCTCAGAGCTCAAGGCTTCTGAGGCTTTTTCTGTTCAGGACTGTATTTCCCAGCGGCCACCGCGCCAGTTCACTTCCGGTCTCCAGGGGTCGACGACATAGTGGGGTGAGGTCTTCACATCAGAGGACGAGATCCGTGGCTGCGGGAGGTCTCTGCTGACTGGGGCTGGAGCCTGACTGACCCGACAGTGCGGGTGGGCTAGAGGGAGGTACTCAAGAGTAGGAACCCCGGGGCGCAGACGGGATCTGTCGGATCCCCAGGCGTGCGTGTGCGCGGGCATCAGAGGAGGGGGATTGTGAGATCATGAGTGACGGAGGGGACTGTGTGAGTGTGTGCGTGAGGCCCTATACACAGGCCCGGGAAGGCGTGTGGACGCAGCGCACTTTGCTGGGGCTGTGTAAGCGTCAACATGCTGGTGCCCGCAAGCTCCTGCTGCTTCCTCCCTCTTTCGCCTTCACAGCTGCGGGGACTGCTGCAGAGCAATGGCCCCAGTAGGGAGGTCAGATATTGAGCCAAGAATGAAGCTTTACACAAGAAAGCGCAGAAGTGCCCCCGACTGTTCCCCAGGAGGGCGGCTAGCTGCATGTTGAGAACCACAGCGTCCTCAGAGCTCTGTCCCCAGAAAGCAGCTCCAAACTGGTTGTACTGGTTGAACCGATTCCGCCTTCTTTTACTTCCTTCCTATTTCGTGTGAAGTGAGGGAAATTGTGGCTTGGGAGGGTGTTTTCAAACTTAGTCTGCGCTCCAAGAAAAACCTGGAGTCTCACGCTTGCCGTACCCTTCCCCAGTCGTGTTATTATCCAAAAGAAGCACCTGGAGGAAGATGAGAGCATTATTTCTGCACATCTAAAAGTCAAGGGTGAGTTCGTGCTTTGTATTTGCTCAAGAAATGCGTTTTTGATTTTAGAATATTGAGATCCCGTAAATTTTCAGTGAATCTAGGGGGATATGCAAATTAATTCGTGCACCCTCCTTCACCTTTCCACTTAATATTCACAAAACCATTTGGCAAATCGTTCACACCTTCCTGTGCGCTCCCTTTTTCGAAGCTGGTATGGAAATACACCTCCAGTAGTTAATATTAAAACTCCATTTAGACCCATATTTGGGAAGGCGGAGATTAGTGTTTAGGTGGAATCCCACACCAGACGTCAGTTGGTCTTTACAGACCTCCTTTTCAAAACAGGGAAGAATGGAGATGGTTGGATGATTTCCATTAGTCTGTGAGGCATTCGGGAGTGGAAAACTGACCGCACAGAAATTGGTATCAACAAGAGCCAGGATTTTTCCAGGGAGTCCATGAGATGATATTTGTTATACTTGCCAGATCTCTCTGAGGTTTGGCAGCTTCCGTTGTGTTTTGGGCGTGTGTGTGTGTGTGTGTGTGTGTGTGTGTACTGTGAGAGGCAATACACTGTTGTGGTTAAGAATAGGGGAGTGGATACAGAGTATTTGGGTTGGAATGTTGGTTCTGTCATGAGAATGAATTAATATCGTAAAGCCCCTTAGAGCAGAGATAGGCATATAATAACGTTTAATATGTTTTAACTGTTGTCTTTATGTAGTCATTTTAAGTCATTCCCTTGACTCTCTATAGAACAGGAACATTGGGAATATGTGATTCATTGCGATGGCTGCTTGTATATTAAGAAAATGAGTGAGGTGCTCAAATGATCTAGGACAGAAATTCTTTTTAAATCGACAGATATAATTGTATGTATTTATCATGTGCAACATGAAGTTTTATGGTATGTATACATTGTGGAATGACTAAATCTAGCTAATTAACAATGCATTACCTCACATAGTTATCATTTTTGTGGTAAGAACACTTAATATCCACTCTCCTAGCATTTTTCAAGGCTACAGAATATTGCTATTAATTGTAGATACCATTTTGTGTAATAGATCTCTTGAACTTATTTCTCTTCCTGAAATTTTGTATCCTTTGACCAACATTTCCCCAGTCAACACTGCCCTCCTTCCTCCCTCACCCACATTATCCCAGATCTGTAAATACCATTCTACTCTCCACTTCTGTGATATCAACTTTTTTAGATTTGGCTGATGAGTGAGATCATGTGTCTTTCTGTGCTTGGCTTACTTCACTTAATATGATGTTCTCCAGGCTCATCCATGTTTTTGCAAATGACAGAATTTCCTGCTTTTTATGGCTAAATAGTATTCCCTTGTGTATATATACCTGCATATATATTACATTTTCTTTATCCATTCATTCATTGTTAGACACGTAGGTTGATGCCATATCTTGGCTATTGTGAATAGTGCTGTAATAAACATGGCTGTGCTGATATCTCTTTGACATACGAATTTCATTTCCTTTGGAGATATATTCCCAGTATTGGGATTACTGGATCATATGGTAGTTGTATTTCTAACTTTTTGAGTAACCTCCATACTGTTTTACATAATGGCTGTGCCCATTTACATTCTTGCCCACAGTGTGCAAGAGTTCCCTTTTCTCTACATTCTTGCCAATACTTGTTAACATTTGTCTTTCTAGTAGCCACCCTAACAGGTAAGAGGTAATATCTTATTGCAGGTTTAATTTTCATTTCCTTTATGATTAGTGATGTTGAGTATTTTTTCATATACTGTTGGCCATTTTTTATGTCTTCTTTTGGGATGTGCCTATTCGGGTCCTTTGCCCATCTTTTAATCAGGTTTTTTTTTTTTGCTATTGAGTTGTTTGACTTCCTCATATATTTTGGATCTTAATCTCTTATATATATGGTTGCAAATATTTTCTCTCATTCTACAAGATGTCTCTTCACTTTGTTGATTGTTTCCTTTTCTGTGCAGAAGGTTTTTAGCTTGATATCATTTCATTTGTTCTTTTTTGCTTTTGTTGCCTTTGCTTTTGAGGTCATATCCCAAAAAAAATCATTGCTCAGATCAGTTTCATAGAACTTTCCCCCATGTTTTCTTCTATTTGTTTCATAGTTTAGGATCTTACATTTAAGTATTTAATCTGTTTAGAGTTGATTTTTGTATAATGGTTTGAGATAAGGGTCTAATTGCATTTTTCTGCATATGGATACCTACTTTTCACAGTAGTATTTTTTGAAGAGTCTTTTCCCCATTGTATGTTCTTGGCACCCTCCTCAAAACTCAGTTGGTTATAAATATACGGATTTATTCTGGGCCTCTCTATTCTGTTTCTTTGGTCTATGTGTCTTTTTTTATGTCAGTACCCTGCTGTTTTGGTTACTATAGCTTTGTAGTATATATTGAAGTCAGATAGTTTGATACCTCCAACTTTGTTCCTTTTTGCTCAAGATTGCTTTAGCTATTTGGGTCTTTTGTGGTTCTATACAAATTTTTGCATTTTTTGTTTTTTCCTATTTCTGTAAGGAATATAGGACAGAAATTCTTAACCTGAGTTCTTGTGACTCCATTTATGGTCTCAGGGACCAAGAGCTCTTGAAATAAAATATTGAAGTATTATAGAAATTTATAAATGTGGGTTTTAGAGGGAGAAATAGTGTATCATTTCATAAGATTATCAAAAAATTTATGTGACCCATGAGGTTTGGATCCATTGATCTAGATAGAACATTGTTTCTCAGCTGGGGTGATGTTTAGAAACTTTTGATTGTCATGATGTCGGGGAGGGTGCTACTTAGATCTAATGGATGGAGGTCAGGAATGCTGCTAAACATTGTATTATGTACAGGATAGCTCTCCCCACTCCCCCAACTAAGAATTATCTAGCACAATATGTCATTAGTGCCTAGGGTGAGAAACCGTGGTCTAGAATCAAAAGATTGTGATATCTGGAATGACATTGTAAATGATCTTGTATAAACTAAGTGTTCTGTAATACAGAAATCATTAAGTTAATCATATTAGACTCAAGTGATAGAGTATTATGCAGGTAAATAAAATGATGTCTATAAGGAATTATGAAAAGAAGAATATTTGATATATCATTAAGCAATATTCATGCTATGAGCAATAATACTCAGGAAAATGTTAATGAGACGGGGTACGGTGGCTCACACCTGTAATCCCAGCACTTTGGGAGGCTGAGACAGGCAGATCATTTGAGGTCAGGAGTTTGAGACCAGCCTTGCCAACATGGTGAAACCTTGTCTCTACTAAAAATACAAAAACTAGCCAGGGGTGGTGGCAGGCACCTGTAATCCCAGCTACTCAGGAGGCTGAGGCAGGAGAATCGCTTGAACCTGGGAGGCAGAGGTTGCAGTGAGCTGAGATCAGGCCACAGCACTCCAGCCCGTGTGACAGAGCAAGACTTCACCCCTGCCCCCCGAAAAGAAATTGTTATATTGTATATGAATCCCATATACTAAGATAGGGTTTTTATATAAGAATTCTGTAAGAATCATATCTAAAGGCATTCTATAAGAGTTATATCTAAAATAATATTTTAATTGGTTATTTGGTGAAGAAGGAAACCACGCATGGTGGTGTATATTCCACAAATTTTCTCACATAGTTTGCATATGCCACTTATCTGTATTGTGTTCATTCGAAGAGGAATCTTGATAATGAGAATATCTAATTATATTGGTGAGATACAGCTAAAGGATATTAGAACTACCTGATGTTATTTTTTATAGTCACATTAACCTCTTGTTGAACCTCATGACAGGCTCAGGTTTTTTTCCTGATAACTCTGTTTTTATTTTTTACTTCAAAAGTAGAGATAGACTATCATTAATGCATACAAGACATTGGTTGGGGACTTGCAGAAAATTTTTTCTAGAAATTGTTCCAACATACATAGAAAAACATAGACATCTTAGTGATGGTCAAGAATTGGAAAATAAAGGAAACAAACTCATTAAGTAAAAACAACAGCTCATTAGATTATCCTGATTTTTTCCCCCCAAGTTCAAAGGGAGATATCTAAATAAAAAGTGTCTTTCATCTAATTTGGAGAAGTTTCCTCATAGGAAAGAAATGTGTATATACATTTACGTATGTCCATATATAGAGATGCATACATACACACGTGTGTGTGTATAGATATATATATATGTGAATATAATTATAAATATTCCAAGTTAATGCCTGGATGTAGTTACAATTTTTTTTTTCTCTGACATGAAGTCTCGCTCTGTTGCCAGGCTGGAGTGCAATGGTGTGATCTCAGCTCACTGCAACCTCTGCCTCCTGGGTTCAAGCGATTCTCGTGCCTCAGCCTCCCGAGTAGGTGGGATTACAGGCATGTGCCACCACACCCAGCTAATTTTTGTATTTTTAGTAGAGACGGGGTATCACCATGTTGGCCAGAATGGTCTCGATCTCCTGACCTCATGATCTGCCTGCCTTGGCCTCCCAAAGTGCTGGGATTACAGGTGTGAGCCACCGTGCCCGGCCACACCTTTTTGCTTCTTAAGCAAAAAGAAGAAAATTGGAGCTACACAGAGGAGAACTCTTAACATGCATATAATTTTCTAAATTTTTTTCTATTGATGTCTGTTAGTCTTTTTATTAATATTTCTATATACGTATATTTTACAAATGTAATCATATTATCCTGTTTTGTAATCTAATTTTTCTGTTAATCATAGAGTACCATGTATTCTATTACGTGGATGTTCTAAACTGTGTTAACCAACTGGCTTTTGCTGAGCTCAGAATGCTGAACACTGCCCTTGCAATTCTGTCTATTCCTTTCCAGTTCTCATGCCTTGCCCCACTGCACCCAATCCTGATTTCACAAAGAGGTTCTGGATTGGATGATGCGATCCCTTCTCAGCTCTGAAAGGTGGGACTAGGGGAGGGGGATCTGCTTAGGGCAGGATCAGAGGTCCAGTCCGAGGCCAAGATAGGTATCCCAAGAATGGAGGACTGGCTGGAAGCCACAACTTCAAGGCAGAAATGCCTGTGCTCAGCATTCATGCTTCTGCCGCAGGTTGCCTTGGATGTAGGCGAGAGCTTGGTTTCATCCACACTCCACCTGTTCACTGCCAGTTTATTTGTGAGAAAGTGTGTGTGGGGACAAGGGAAGTGATGGGAGGTGGTGGAAGTGTGCATGTTAGCAGGAGTAGTTGAGAAATAGGAATGGAGAATAAAATAGTTATTTGCTTCAATGCTTTGAGAACATTGAGACACAGCTTTAATTATGGCCTTTTTTTGTTGTTGTTTTCCAGGGGAGAAGCACGAGGAAGATTGACCAATTTTGTAATTCTAGAAACATGGTCCATGTAAGTTGATATTTCTTTCTTTTCCTTCAAATATGGTGACTTTCGGGTTAGGTGACTGTTATTATTTAACCTGAAGCTTCTTACCTAGGATCTATGATCTTACACCCCAGTTTGTCCCATTATAGTGAAGGTTGGTGACCAAAAAAAAAAAAAAAGTCAGTGCTCTTCCTATTTGTACCTCTGTTTCCTGCTGGCTTTGATGTTTTCTTTGAACAGGTTATTCAGTCTGTGCTCTGTGCTCAGACCTTGGTCAGAAAGAATATTGGAACAGTGGAGGAATCAGTCCCCACAGGGAAACAGGGTCTTATGGGTTTGATAAGTTACAGATGATTGACCACACTTGGGAACACTTTGAAACTTCACAGACTGGAGCCTTCCAGGTAGCTAAGGTCGAATTCCGTAGTGAGTGGCCTCAGTCTGCAAGTGTGACAAGGTGTTCTGCTTTATGAGGCTTTTAGGAAAATGATCAGTGAGGACAGTGGGCAGTAACAGGGAGAAGATAATTCAAGGCATGAATGATAGGTGATTACAGATTCTCTGGCCGGAAGTGGTGGCTCACGCGTGCAGTCCCAGCACTTTGGGAGGCTGAGGCGGGTGGTGGATCACTTGAGGTCAGGAGTTTGAGACCAGCCTGGCCAACATGGTGAAACCCCATCTCTTCTAACAACAACAACAAAAACAACAACAAAAAAATTAGCCTATTGTGGTGGTACGCACCTGTAATCCCAGCTGCACAGGAGGCTGAGGCAGGAGAATTGCTTGAACCTGGAAGGTGGAGGTTGCAGTGAGCTGCGATCGTGCCACTGCACTCTAGCCTGGGTAACAGAGTGAGACTCTGTCTCAGGAAAAAAAAAAAAAAATTATCAGAATTGGGAAAATCCTTAGAGGCCCTGGCCATCCTCAATGTATAAATAGAAAAAAATGAATAAATCTAATATGTCAGTTATATTGACTTTCATGCAGCTTATAAAAATCATTTGTCATGACAAGAAAAAATACTTTTGCTATCATCTCATACCATAATGAGCTTGAGGATTAAGAACATTCTTCAGTTGTATGCAACCCCCACCTTTTTTGTTTGTTTGTTTTTCTGAGATAGGGTCTTGCTCTGTGGCCCAGGCTGGAGTGCAGTGGCGTGATCACAGTTCACTGTAGCCTTGAACTCCTGGGCTCAAGCGATACTCCTACCTCAGTCTCCCAAGTAGCTGGGACTACAGGTATGTGATACCACACACAGTTACTTAAAGTTTAATTTTTGCAGAGACAGGATATCATTATGTTGCCCAGGCTAGTCTCAAACTCCTGGGCTCAAGCAATCCTCCCACCTCGACCTCCTGAGTAGCTGGGACTATAGGGATGAGCCACCATGCTCAGCCAGCAGCAGGATTCTTGAAGAATGTGCAGGCACTCTGTGAATTTCCATATTGCTTTTTTCTTACAGTACACTCCTTCACTTCCTCTCCTTTCATCTTGAAACAATTTTCTTCAATTTCACCATAATACATGTGTTTGTGGTTTCAGGGATCAGTGACATTCAGGGATGTGGCCATTGACTTCTCTCAGGAGGAGTGGGAGTGCCTGCAGCCTGATCAGAGGACCTTGTACAGGGACGTGATGTTGGAGAACTACAGCCACCTGATCTCACTGGGTAAGGTCATTGGTCCCAGTTATTTTTGTGTCTGTTCTCTGGAATATCAGCTTTCTTCACCGTGAATTTCAGGGCTATCTTTTAAGAGGTGGCTGAATTCCTTCTTCTTGTTCCCAAAGGAATGGATTGAGATTTGTTGGGTTGAAAACAGGCACCTCCCTGAGCCCCTGTATCTTGCCTACTCCACAGTGGCCTCCATTACACTGGTCCTTTCTGTAATTGCCTCTCTCTCTCCATGACCATGGGGCTGAATTTGAAATCTTGTACGTTCATTGAAAGATACTGTCTAAGAACCAGATTTCATGTTATGTTTGATGTCAGAATTACTGTAGATTTTCTGTTTGTTGGTTTGTTTTTGTTTTTTTGGCCCACCTGTAAGGAGAAGAGTGTCTTGAATTTTTCTATCAAAGAAACCTCTATGATCACTGGGAGGTTGAGGCTGCAGTGAGCTGTACCCATCACTGCACTCCAGCCTGGACAATAGACTGAGACCTTGTCTGAAAAACAAAAACAGACAAACAAAAATGTCTGTTATTTACATACACTGATTGGGTTGACAGAAATTCATTTAACACTGAAGTGAATGCATTTCATTTCCTTCAATAAACATTGCGTTACTTGTTTTGTAGCTGAAAGTTTCAGGCTATGGAGTTTATGTATTTTCATTGAGTGAATATACTGAGTGAGCTGTATATGTCTAAGGATGCAAAATAAATGACAATAATAAACATAATCTTGACTTTGTGCTACTGTATATCACGCAATGTTAGAAGTATTTTACTTATATTAACTTATTTAGTCTTAGTATCAATCCTATAAAATAGGTGTTATATCATCCCCATTTTAGAGCTGGGAAAACTCAAGGACAGAGTTTAAATGACTTACCTGAGGTCATACTGCTAGTGAGTAGCAGAGACAGGATTTGAACACGGCAGTCTGGCTTGAAGTTTCCTGCTCTCAGCCATTCAGTTATCCGTCTTTTTGAGGGATAAGATTCTGAGTTAGAAAAGAGTTCTCTTACTCAACCTCTCACTCTTATCTGAAGTCTCTTCTCAATATTGTTTTGACTTGTAATTTATTATAAGTTTAAGCAGGTCACAAAGATTTGGAAAAAAAAAATTTTGTATTAAAAAAATTCTACATGTGTCATTTCTTTTACGCAGGAAGTTCCATTTCTAAACCAGATGTGATTACGTTACTTGAGCAAGAGCAAGAGCCCTGGATGGTTGTAAGGAAAGAAACAAACAGATGGTATCCAGGTAAGTGAGGGTAAAGCAGGCAGGGGGAAGCCATCATTGTCCCGGACAGCCATGTGCTCAGAGAGGAGTCACACCCCTGAGATGTGGTTTGAAAAACTTTCTTCGATGACCTAAGTTGTGTTGGATAAAAATGCCCAAGACCTGGGAAGGAAGTAAAGATTATAGCAGAAGCCGTCACCAAGGAACTTCATCATTTACTAACCACCTAATTTCTGTTCTCTTATTTCCTTCCCCTTTTAGTGGAGTAAGTTCCCTCTGTTTTTCCCAGTGTAAACTTTTTTTTTTTTTTTTAAATGGAATCTTTCTCTGTCCTGCAGTGTGGAGTGCGGTGATGTGATCTTGACTCACTGCAACCTCTGCCTCTTGGGTTCAAGCAATTCTCATGCCTCAGCTTCCCAAGTAGCTGGGATAACAGGTGCCCACCACTGCACCTGGCTAATTTTTGTATTTTTAGTAGAGATGAGGTTTCACTGTGTTGGCCAGGTTGTTCCTGAACTCCTGACCTCAGGTGATCTGCCCACCTCAGCCTCCCAAATTCCTGGGATTACAGGTATGAGCTATTGTGCCCAGCCCATTTGCCAACTTTTTAATAGGATTTTTTTTTTTGGCTGTTATTTGAGTCTTGTCAGAGAAATAGTTTGCAAATAACTTCTCTCATTTGATTTTGTCTATTCCCTGTGTTGATACTTTCGTTTGCTCTGCAGAAGCGTTTTAGCTTAATACAGTTCCATTGATCTGTTTTTGTTTTTGCTGCCTGTGCCTTTGCAGTGTTAACCAGAAAATTTTTGCCTAGGTCAATGTCCTGAAGCACTTCCTTTATGTTTTCTTTTAGTTGTTTTGTAGTTTTGAGTCTTACATTTAAGTCTTTAATCCATTTCCAGTTGATTTTTGTATATGGTGAGAAATAGGGGTCTGGTTTCATTCTATCGCATATGGATATCCAGTTGCTCCAGCACCATTTCTTTATTTATTTTTAATTATTATTTTCCAACTTTTATTTTAGGTCCAAGGGGTACATGTGTGGGTTTGTTATATGGGTAAATTGCACGTTGTGGTGGGTTTGGTGCACAGATTATTTCACCACCCAGATAATAAGCATAGTACCCAATAGGTAGTTTTTGGATCTTCATCCTCCCACCCTCTCCTCTCAAGTAGGCCCTGATGTCTGTTGTTCTGTTTTTTTGTGTCCATGTGTACTCGGTGTTTAGCTCCCACTTATAAGTGAGAATATGTAGTCTTTGGTTTTCTGTTCCTTCATTAATTTGCTTAGGATAATGGCATCCAGTGCCATCCACATTGCTGCACATAATCTTGTTCTTTTTTATGGTTACGTAGTATTCCTTGGGCTATATGTACCACATTTTCTTTAGCCAGGTAACCATTCATGGACATTTAAGTTAATTCCATGTCTTTGCTATTATGAATGGTGCTACAATAAACATAGGCATTCACGTGCCATTAGGTTAGAACTATTTTCTTTTTTTGTTTCTTCCTTGTCTGGTTTTTGTTTCATGGTATGCCAGCTTCATAGAATGAGTTAAAGAGAATTTCCTTCTCTGAAATTTTTTGGAATAGTTTGAGGAGAATTGGTATTATTAGTTCTTTGAGAGTTTGGTAGATAGAATTCAGCAGGGAAGTCATCAGTCCTGGAGTTTTCTTTTTTGGGTGACATTTTATTACTGATTCAATCTCATTACTCATTATTGGCCTGTTCAGCTTTTCTGTTTTGATGATCTTTTCTGTTTCTGTGGTGTCAGTGGTAATATCTCCTTTTTTATTTCTGATTTTGCTTATTCTCTTTTCTTCTTGGTTAGTCAAGCTAGTGGTTTATTAATTATATTTATGTTTTTTAAAAAACAACTTTTCATTTCATTGATCTTTTGTATTATTTAGTCTGTATTTTATTTAGTTCTGCCCTGATTTCATTGGATTGTTTATTTGAAATCTTTCTACTTTTTCAATGTTGGTGTTTATTGCCATCAACTTCACTCTTAGCAGTACTTTTGCTGTATCCCATAGGTTTTGCTATGTTGAATTCTGATTTTCATTTGTTTCAAGAAATTTTTTGATTTCCTCCTTAATTTCTTTCTTGACCCAGTGGTTATGTATGAGCAGGTTGTTTAATTTCCATGTGTTGTACAGTTTCCAAAGTTCATCTTGTTACTGATTTCTTGTTCTATTCCATGTCTGAGAAAAGACTTGGTATAATTTTGGTTTTGAAGAATTTGTTAAGAATTGCATCCTAACATATGGTCTATCCTAGAGAATGTTCTGTGTGCTAATGAGAGTATGTGTATTCTGTAGCTATTTGATGAAATGTTCAGTAAATGTCTGGTAGGCCTGTTTTGTCTAATGTGCAGTTTAAATCCAATGTTTCTTTGTTAATTTTTTATCTAGATGATCTGTCTAATTCAGAGTGGGGTGTTGAAGTCCCCAGTGATTATTGCCCTGGAGTATATCTCTCTCCCTTTTGATCTAATAATATTCACCTTATATATCTGGGTGTTCAGGTGTTGGGATTATAGTATGTTTAGAATTATTATATCCTCTTGCTGAATTGATCCCTTTATCATTATACCATGACCTTCTTTGTCTCTTTTTGCTGCTTTTGACTTAAAATCTTTTTTGTCTGATATAAATATAGCTATTCCTGCTCACTTTGGTTTCCATTTGCATAGAATATCTTTTACTATTCCTTTACTTTCAATCCATATTACCAGTGAGATGAGTCTCTTGTTGGCAGCATATAACTGGGTCACTTTTTTTTTTAATCCATTCAGCCAGTCTATATCTTTTAGATGAAAAGTTTAATCAATTTACATTCAATGTGATTACTGATATGTGAGGGCTTATTCTTGTCATTTTATTAATTGATTTCTAGTTGATTTGTATATCCTTTGTTCCTTTCTTTCTCTTTTATTTTTTATCATTGTGGTTTGGTTGTTTTCTATAGGGATAACATTTGAGTTCTTTCTCCTTATTTGTGTATTTGCTGTGTCAGTGGATTTTATAATTTTGTATGTTTTCACAATGGTAGATATTCTTTCACTTCTAAGTGTAGGACTCTTAAGCATATCTTGTAGAGCTGGTCTACCCTCAGCTTTTGTCTGGGAAAGATTATTTCTTCTTCATTTATGTTGGATAATTTGCTAAGGATAGTATCCTTGATTGGCAAGTTTTTTCTTTCAACACTTTGAATATATCATTTCATTCTCTCTCATTTCTTTCTGTTGAGAAATCTGCTATTTGGCTGATGAGAGTTCCCTTGTAAGTAACTAGATGCTTTTCTCTTGCTGTTTTTAGTATTCTCTCTTTGTCTTTGACTTTTGTATTTTGACCATAATGTGCCATGGAGAAGCCTTTTTTGTGTTGTTATCTATTTGGGTATCTCTGAGCTTCCTATATCTGGATGTCTACATCTCTTGCTAGAGCTGGAAAGTTTCCAGCTATTATTTCATTAAATAGATTTTCTTTCCTTTATTTTTTCTCTTCATCTCTGGGACCTCAAAATTTCAAATATTTGGTTGTTTTATGATGTCCCTTATAGGGTCTTTGTTTCTTCTTCTTTTTTTCTTTTTCTGTTTTTGTCTGACTGGGTTATTTCAAAAGAATTGGCTTTATGTTCTGAGATTCTTCTACTTGATCTAGTCTGTTGTTGAAGATTTTGAATGTATTTTATATTTTATTCAATGAATTATTCAGTTTCAGAATTTCTGTTTGGTTCTTTTTTATAATGAAATTGGTAAATTTCTTCTTCTTATCCTGAGGGTTTTTTTTGTTTTTTGTTTTTTTTTCTGATTTCTTTGTATTGTTCTTCCAAATTCTGTTGTATCTCGCTTAGCTTCTTTAATATAATTATTTTTGAATTATTTTGCTAGGATATAACATTTTCCCCCCATTGGAATGTTTCTGGAGAATTATTATGTTCCTGTGGAGATGTCATGTTTCCTTCTTTTTTTTTTGTTACTTCCTGTGTTTATTCTCATTTTTTTGAATTTGCTTTTGTAGGGGAGGCTTTTTTCCTAAAGATGTATCTATGGTTAATAGGGTTGGATAGGGCATTTTCGCTTTGATTCTGGGTGTGTGCAGTAGTGTTGTTATGTAGTGTTATGATTTTTTTTTGACTGTAAACAGTGTCATTGGTGTGTGTGATTTCTTCATTGGTTTTGGTTGTGATGGTTAGTGGAGGGTATGGTGAAGTTTTATTGGGGATGAGAAGTGATACAGTTTAGGCATTTTCCCCTCTAAATCTCAAGTTGAAATGTAATCCCCAGTGTTGGAGATGGGGCCTGGTGGGAAGTAATTGGATCATGGGAGTTGATTTCTCATGAATGGCTTAGCACCACCCCCTTGGTGCTGTCCTCACAATAGTAAGTGAGTTCTTGCAGGACCTGGTTGTTAAAAGTATATGGCACTTCTCCTTGTTCTCTCTCTTGCTCCTTCTCTTGCTGTGCGACATTCTTTGTCCTGTGTTGCCTTCTTTGATGAGTAAAAGCCCGCTAAGGCCTCCCCAGAAGCTGAGCAGATGCCAGCGCCATGCTTGTACAACCTGCAGAACCATGAGCCAGTTAATACTCATTTTTTCGTAAATTACCCAGTCTCAGGTATTCCTTTAATGCAAGAATGGCCTAGCACTAGGACACTAGGTAGGCAAGTCCTTGGACTCTGGTGGTGGCAGTAGCAGTCCAGACATGCCTGTTTTGGGGCCCCAGGGTAGTCTGTGCTGGCACTAGTATTGGTGTGTCTAGGCACATTGATTCTTTGGCCTCCTTGTGGTTTGGATGATAATGGTATGCTGGGTGGGTGGATGGGTTCTTGGACTCTTGGGCAGCAAGTGTGGCATGGGTGGTGGCAGTAGTAGTGAACAGGACAAACTTCTGGCTCCCAAGCAGTAAGTGCTTGGTGTTGGAGGTGACTGTGATGGGCTGGGTGAGCCAGTCCACAGAACATCCAGTTGTGAGTACAGGTGGGTGCCAGTTGTGGAGGTAGCAGCAGGTTATATGGGTCTGACCTCAGGCCTCTGTGACGAGTGCTTAGGTAGCAAAGGTGGTAGATGGATCAGGGTGATCCCCAGGTTCCCAGATGGTATGCTTGGGGACTTGGGCACAGAGCTGGGTCTGGTGGACCTGACCTTAGGCCCCCCAGTTTTACGTGCTGGTTCTTATGGTAAATAGGGGTGGAGTGATCCCCAGGCACCTGGCAGAATGCTGCTGTTGATTTTCTTTTCTAATGTGAGTTGAAATTTTCTTGTATATGCCAGTATATTTGGATTGTATCCTGGACATTCTAATTACTGACTATGAAGCTATGGGTCTCATGGTCTTAAGTCCTATAGAACATATCAATATGTTTCAACAGATAGTCGACCTAGTTAGGATCAACATTCGGTGGTTCATTTTCCTATTTTTACATGTACATAACCAGGCTGGCTCAGATGTGCATTTGCTTCCACTGGAAACAGAAGTGATACGAGAAAGGTTCTATCTACCAACTTTGTTGGTTTTAGCTAATAAAACCAATAAAGGTTTTATTGGTTTGAATTGATGGTTTCAGTTGATGAAAGGACTTTGCATGTATATTATAGGAAAATAAAATAGGTTTGCTTTCTTCATTTCTTTCAGATTTGGAGTCAAAATATGGACCTGAGAAAGTATCTCCAGAAAATGACATCTCTGAAGTAAATTTACCCGAACAGGTTATAAAGCACATAAGTACAACTCTTGGCCTTGAGGCCTTTTATTTTAGAAACTACTCAGAATATGGAAGATTTGAGGGACTACAGGGGTATCAAGAAGGACATATCAATCAAAAGATGATCAGCTGTGAAAAACTGCCTACTTATACTTCTCATGCTTCTCTTATTTGCAATACACATAAACCGTATGAATGTAAGGTATGTGGGAAATACTTTAGTCGTAGTGCAAATCTTCTTCAGCATCAGAGTATTCATACTGGAGAGAAACCCTTTGAATGTAAGGAGTGTGGGAAAGCCTTTCGACTTCACATACAATTTACTCGACATCAGAAATTTCATACTGGTGAGAAACCTTTTGAATGTAACGAATGTGGAAAGGCCTTTAGTCTTCTTACCCTGCTTAATCGCCATAAGAACATTCACACAGGTGAGAAACTGTTTGAATGTAAGGAATGTGGGAAGTCCTTTAATCGTAGTTCAAACCTTGTTCAACATCAGAGTATTCATGCTGGTGTGAAACCATATGAATGTAAGGAGTGTGGGAAAGGCTTCAATCGTGGTGCACACCTTATTCAGCATCAGAAAATTCATTCCAATGAGAAACCCTTTGTATGTAAGGAATGTGGGATGGCCTTTCGATATCATTACCAACTTATTGAACATTGCCAAATTCATACTGGTGAGAAACCCTTTGAATGTAAAGAATGTGGAAAGGCGTTTACTCTTCTGACAAAGCTTGTTCGACATCAGAAGATTCATACTGGTGAGAAACCCTTTGAATGCAGAGAATGTGGGAAGGCCTTTAGTCTTCTCAACCAGCTTAATCGCCATAAGAACATTCACACAGGTGAAAAACCATTTGAATGTAAGGAATGTGGGAAGTCCTTTAATCGTAGCTCAAACCTTGCTCAACATCAGAGTATTCATGCTGGCGTAAAACCATATGAATGTAAGGAGTGTGGTAAAGGCTTTAATCGTGGTGCACACCTTATTCAGCATCAGAAAATTCATTCCAATGAGAAACCTTTTGTATGCAGGGAATGTGAGATGGCCTTTAGATATCATTGCCAACTTATTGAACATTCTCGAATTCATACTGGTGACAAGCCATTTGAATGTAAAGACTGTGGGAAGGCTTTCAATCGTGGCTCGAGCCTTGTTCAACATCAGAGTATTCACACTGGTGAGAAGCCCTATGAATGTAAGGAATGTGGGAAGGCTTTTAGACTTTACCTACAACTTTCTCAACATCAGAAAACTCATACAGGTGAGAAACCCTTTGAATGTAAGGAATGTGGGAAATTATTCCGTCGTGGTTCAAATCTTAATCAACATCGAAGTATTCATACTGGAAAGAAACCCTTTGAATGTAAGGAATGTGGGAAAGCCTTTCGACTTCATATGCACCTTATTCGACATCAGAAATTGCATACTAGTGAGAAACCCTTTGAATGTAAGGAGTGTGGGAAAGCCTTTCGACTTCATATGCAACTTATTCGACACCAGAAATTGCATACTGGTGAGACACCCTTTGAATGTAAGGCATGTGGAAAGGTTTTTAGTCTTCCCACCCAGCTTAATCGCCATAAGAATGTTCACACAGGTGAGAAGCCATCTTGAATGTAAGGAATGTGGAAAATCCTTTAATCGTGTCTCAAACCATGTTCAACATCAGAGTATTCATGCTGGTGTAAAACCATGTGAATGTAAGGAGTGTGGGAAAGGCTTCAATCGTGGTTCAAACCTTACTCAGCATCACAAAATTCATTCCAGTGAGGAACTCTTTGTATGTAAGGAGTGGAGGAAGACCTTTAGATATCATTACCAACTTACTGAACATTACCAAATTCACACTGGTAAAAAAAAACCCTTTGAATGTAAAGAATGTGGAAAGGCCTTTAGTTTTCTGACACAGCTTGCTGGACTTCAGATCATTTACACTGGCGAGAAGCCATTTGAATTTGAGGAATGTGGGAAGGCCTTCAATAGTGGCTCAAACCTTATTCAACATCAGAGTATTCATACGGGTGAGAAACTCTATGAATGTAAGGAGTGTGGGAAAACTTAGATTTAGTTTGGTCCTGACTGCACATCAAAGAATTCATACTGGTATGAAGCCCTGTGAATGTACAGAATGTGGGAAGACCTTTAGTTGTAGCTCAAACATTGTTCAACACGTTAAAATTCATACTGGTGAGAAACCCTAGAATGTAAGGAATGTGGGAAAGCATTTACTGTGGATTATCAGCTTTCTTAACATCAGAAAATTCATAATCGTTAGAAATTTTATGACTATAAGGAGTGTGGAGAAGCCTTCACTGTGTATGAAAAATTTACTCAACACCGGAGAGCTCATATTGATGAGAAATCTTGTGAACATAAAAGAATGTGTGAAGAACTGTCATCATGGCCTGGGATTTGCTCAACATCAGAGTATTCATACTTCCGAGAAATCTTTGGGTGTAAGGAATGTGGGGCGTTTTATAGCCACACTAAATACCTTAGTGTTTGGAGAAGATAATTCTTGTGAGAAAGTCTTTGAATGAGGAATATAGGGTAGTTGTTATGTTCACAATATACTCCCTATGAAATACTTTACCAGATACAGGCATACCTCACTGAATTGTGCATTGCAGTTATTGTGTTTTATACAAATTGAAAGTTTGTGGCAACCCTGTGGTAAGCAAGATGATCAGGTCCATTTTCCAAACATCATGTGTGCATTTCATGTCTTTATGTCACATTTTGGTAATTCTCAGAATATTTCAAACTTTTTCATTGTTATGTATCTATCATGGTGATCAATAACCAGTGATTTTTGATGTTACTATTGTAATTGCTTTGGGATACCACAAATCCTGCCCATAAAAGATGGTAAACCTAGTTGATACTTGTGGGTTTGGAAAGAATTGTCAAATATACAACCATATACCCCCACCTAGATTCAAAATTATTGACAAATTTGCACGTTTATTTTTTGTATATTTGTTGTACCATTGAGAATAAGTTTTAGACATCAGGACACTTTACCCTTTATTTAATCAACATGTGTATCACCCAAACATAAAGACAAAATCATATAGCCGTTGTACCATAATTACCCTTAAGGAAACTATTCATAATTCTGTAATATTCCATTTTCAGATTTCTTCATTGGCTTCCAAACCATCTTTTACAGCTATTCATATTCAAAGGAGAATCCATTGCAGAATCTGCATTGCATTTGATTCTCTCTCTTTAGTATATTGTAGCCTGGAAATCGTATGAATGTAGGCTCTCAAAAGCTACAGAGGCTTAAGCCTTAGCTTGTAAGTCTGGGCCTTCATGTTTTTTATTTCCCCAGGTGATTGTGATACTAACCAGAGTTAGAGAGCCACTGACCTAGAACATTTCTCCTCATTCTTTTTTTTTTTTTCGCAGTTGCAAGATTTAATAGAGTGGAAACAGAGCTCCCATACAAAGGCCGGGGGGGCACCCAAAGAGGGTAGCCATTGCCGGCTCCAATGCCTGGGTTTATATCCCGATCATTGTCCCTCCCGCTGTGCTCTCAGGCAATAGATGATTGGCTATTTCTTTACCTCCTGTTTTTGCCTAATTAGCATTTTAGTGAACTCTCTTTCCTACCTGATTGGTCAGGTGTGAGCTAAGTTGCAAGCCCCATGTTTAAAGGTGAATGCGGTCACCTTCCCAGCTAGGCTTAGGGATTCTTAGTTGGCCTAGGAAATCCAGCTAGTCCTGTCTCTCAGTCCCCTCCTCAACAGGAAAACCCAAGTGCTATTGGGGAGGTTGACTGACGACTGCTCCAACTGCTTCCTGCTGAATTGGGGCATAGTAGAGGTTGTGCAGTTGAGATTTCCTCGGGAGGGGTGCCTTCGATGTCCGGAGCATGGGCTAGCAGGCCAGTCCAGGGGTCCACGGTAGATTTTAGTCATGGACTGCATCTGAGGCTCCATTTGAAGAACAATTTGTAGCTTTACAGCTTCGATTCTGGAGGAGACAAACTTAACAAGTAGGTTAAAGATACAGGGATTGAAATGTATGGTCTGTGGTGCAGGGGATTATTTCTTTGGCACACTTCACAGACCCTGACTATCTGCTTGATAGTTTTGAAAAGGCCTGATCCATCTCCTCATTCTTAAAAAATGAGATTGAAGCCGGGCACGGTGGCTCAAGCCTGTAATCCCAGCACTTTGGGAGACTGAGACGGGCGGATCACGAGGTCAGGAGATAGAGACCATCCTGGCCTACACAGTGAAACCCTGTGTCTACTAAAAAATACAAAAAAAAAAAAAACTAGCCAGGCGAGATGGGGGGCGCCTGTAGTCCCAGCTACTCGGGAGGCTGAGGCAGGAGAATGGCATAAACCCGGGAGGCGGAGCTTGTGGTGAGCTGAGATCCGGTCACTGCGCTCCAACCTAGGACAGAGCAAGGCTCTGTCTCAAAAAAAAAAAAAAAAAAAATGAGATTGAATTTTGACTAGCCCAGGAAAGTTGTCTGTGTTTAGATTTCTTTCTTTATAATGTCATTTAGCCATGTTCTCTTTGTTGCGTATTCTGTACAAGGGAATTTGAGTCCAGGGGCACTGTTAGGTCAGATTAAACATTTTGGGGAAGAATACTTTGCAGGCTATTTGTATGTCATGTTTTACTGTCAGAAAACATTTAAGTACCGGTCCTTGCATTAGTGAAACTAAGTTTGATCATTTGGGTAAGCTGGTAACTGCCATAAGTCCATTATAAATCTCTAGTTTGTAGTGGGTTAAGTAATCTACGGAGAGACTTTGTGACCCCTGAAAATTTATAGTCATACGTATTTTAGCTCTGGATTGAATACAAAATGAAAATTGAAATAGACTATTTAAAAATGAATGCCATTAAGGTGTCAACATAAGTCAACTTGTGTCATAAGGCTAAGAGTATACTCAGTACAAAATTAGCACCCTCTAGTTTATTCAGGGAGCTAAGATTGTTTTGTCTGGAACCTTGTTTTTGTTTAGCATTTATCACCAGCACCTATACCATGGCTGGTACATGAGCTGTTGATAAACTTTGAAAAAAATTAAGTCTTTAAATCAAGCTATAAAACATGATACCATTGTGGCATCACGAATTAGAGAGATTAACTTTTTTAAAGATCAGTAATAATCCTTTGTGATTTTATTCTAGTGCATTTAAAAATCTATATAATTTATATTGATAGCTTTCTTTTTGTGAATATACCCTTATCAGATTATTATTTTGATAGACTACTTAATTCTATTTCTTAACATTTAATTGCATCTATAATCATAAGTAAAATTATAATTTTCTAAACATTTTTCAGGTTTTGTTAATGCAATGATCTTATAAATCTTACAAAACAAGGCTGTATAAAACTTGGCTTTCTAGTCTTATGTTCCTATTTTTTATTTCCAGTTTCATCTTTTTTGTATTGATTCTCTTTGACTTTATTTTTTGAACTCAACAGATTCCCTGGGTATTAACCCAGCACAACTCCTTTATGGGTCATTGCACATTCTGGTAGTCTCATTAAGAATTGTCATAAAGGCCGGGCGCGGTGGCTCACGCCTGTAATCCCAGCACTTTGGGAGGCTGAGGCAGGCAGATCACGAGGTCAGGAGATCGAGACCATCCCGACTAACATGGTGAAACCCCGTCTCTACTAAAAATACAAAAACATTAGCTGGGTGTGGTGGTGGGCACCCGTGGTCCCAGCTACTCGGGAGGCTGAGGCAGGAGAATGGCGTGAACACGGGAGGCGGAGCTTGCAGTGAGCAGAGATTGCACCACTGCACTCCAGCCTGGGCGACAGAGCAAGACTCCGTCAAAAAAAAAAAAAAAAAAAAAAAAGAATTGTCATAAAAGAAAGATCCCTGGAGGCCTTCCAGTGAAACTCTATCATCATGCAATCTTGGGATTTCTAAGTTGAAAATCAGAGTCCCTTTGCAAACATAATAAAACGCTTTAAAATATTTGCTAAAGTTACAAACCAAGTATGTAAAAATTTAAAAATCACCTACTACTTTTAAAAGCAGAGAAGGCATCCATAGAATATTTCCTTGCTTACAAGCCCAGTGAACATACTGAATTCACTTACAAAAAGAATTTTCTCAATTTTAGCTTCTTTTGAAAAAAATTCTTATTCCTTTTATTTGTAATTCTTTGACATTGTTGCTGCTTCAGGGTTTTGGTAGTTGGACAGTTTGGTCTTTATTATGCTATTAACATTTTTACCTGTCCTGAAACAAGGAAATGCAATCAAAGAAACAGAAGATTGCTGGACCTTGAACCACATTATGATATCAGATGACCCAGAGTCATGGTTACTAAGTTGTTTAAATTTTTAGTAACAAAGATGTATTAGAAAGTGATAGGTCAATTAAATAATGGTTTTTTTTTTTGGATACATTTAATTATATAATCTCCTTAAGTTGTGCTTAGTCAGCGGTATTTAATCTGTTGTCTATTATATATCTAACTGGTCAGTTATGTTTATTATATATGTATTGCTTATTAATATCTTATTGGAGTAACTCATTTTTAAAACAATATATTTCATCTTCTAGGAGAAGAGGATCGAGTATATGTTTTTGTTCTTTTTCATTAGGACATTGGGGTATTTTATTATTGTGAAATGTATTGAATATTTCATTTCTTTGGTTTGTGAGTCTGACCTTCACTCCATAGCACTGATTTTTATTTGGACCTCCTTTTACCTGATACATAGGAGTTATGAGTAGCCGTTAGTATGGATACATTTTTCCCATTTCTAGTATATTGTCTTTTCCGAAAGTGTCTGGCTTACTAAAACTTCTCTGTATTTGTTCCATCCTGCGTTTACAACTGAATACAAATAGGTAACTATATCTTCTAAACAAGCATCAAGCTGGTGGAAAAAAGGCATATAAATAGCTCTTTCTCACCTACTATCAACAGTAAATTAAACATTCTTAACTGCAGCTTCCTTTTGTAAAATTTATAACCATTTATCTTTGGAGTGTGACATGATACTAGATGTATGATAATTACATATTTTGTGTATTAGTATGAACATGATTTTTAACAGACTTCTTCCAATGAACTATTATCCAGATGATCCCCAACTTAATTGTCAGCTAACAATTTCTCAGCTTTATGATGGTGCAAAAGTGGTATGTTGCTATAGTTTGGATATTTGTCCCGTCCAAATCTTATGTTGAAGTTTGATCTCAGAGTTGGAGATGGGGCCCTAATGGGAGGTGTTTGGGTCATGGGGGAAGATCCCTCATGAATAAATTAATGTCCTCTCTGGATTGAGGGGTGAATGAGTTATCACTCTGTTAGTTCCTGTGAGAGTTGGTTGTTCGAAAGAGCTTGGCACCTCCTCCCTCACCCTCTTGCTTTCTCTTTTGCCATGTGATGTCTGCATACACTGGTCCCCGTTGATCTTCTGCCATTAGTGGAAGCAGCCTGAGACCCTTACCAGAAGCAGATGCTGCACCATGATTCTTGTACATTCTGCAGAGCAGTGAGCCACATAAACCTCTTTATTAATCACCCGGCCTCAGATATTCTTTTATAGCAACATAAAATGAACTAAGACATAGTCAGAATATGCTCCTCAGATTAAGATGGGGCTATGTCTAGATAAACCCATTGTTAAATTGAAAATATTGTAGGTCATAAATACACATTTGGCATATGATGTTTTCAATTTATGATGGGTTTATTTGGATATAACCCCATCATAAGTTGAGAAGCATCTGTAGTAATTATGATAATTTGATGCTCAAATTGACAAAATGTAGCCAGTAGGAGTCCAGTTACATTTGTTTTTTTGACTTCTTTTTTTCTTTTCACTTTTTAAACGAGTGTTGTTTTCAGGTCCTAAGAAGATGTTTTAGACTGATCCTTCTTTGTTGGTCCATGTCCCCCATGCCTCTTGACCTGAGTCATGGAATCAACTCATGATTCAGTACCCTCGTAGGGCATCCTGGTTCTATTTAGAGGAAAAGAGCCTTAGAGACCAAACAATCTGGCTGTTGTGGGTGCACATGGCAGTTACAGGTATGGAAAAAAGATGTTGCTTTCGTTAGAATTCTTTTGATGATTTCAGAGTAGAAAATGTCATCATAAGTTCAGAAGTTCACTCTGA